CATAAAGAGATCCAACAATTTAGAAAGACTGAAATAACAAAGTGTATATCTGTGGCCACATAGAATTAAATGAAAAATCAACAAAAAGATATCAACTCCCCAAAAATCTGGTCAAAGAAAAAAATTGTAAAAGAAATTAGAAATATTTTGATAATGAAATGATAATGAAAAACTACATATCAGAATTTGTGGGACACAGCTAAAGAGGAGCTTAGAGAAAAATGTATGATTATACCAGAAAAGAAGAAAGGTCTAAAATCAATGATATAAGCTTCTACCTTAAGAAGCTAGGAAAAATAAAGCAAATTAAGTCCAAAGTTAGTAGAAGGCAGGTGTGGCAGACAAAGTAATGCCTCACCCTTTACCCCAAAGATGTCCAAGCCCTCATCCCTGGAACCTGTAACCATGTGACCTCACATGGCAAAGGGACTTGGCAGATGTGATTAAGGTTACGTCTACCTTGAGATGAGGAGATCATCCTGGATTATCCAGGTGGCCCAAGAGAATCACATGAGTCATTAGAGTGGAGACTTTCTGAGCTGGATGAGAGAAGAGTGATGATGGAAGAAGAGTCAGAGACATGTGGTGTTGCTGATGTGGGAGGGGGAGGGCCAGGGAATATGGGAAACCTCTAGAAACTGGAAAAGGCAATGAAATGGATTCTCCTAGAGCCTCCAGAAAGGAATGCAGGCCTGTAACATCCTGATTCTAGCCCTGTGAGACTCGCATTGGAATTTGCCTCTACAGAACCATAAGATGATAACTTTGTGTGGTTTTAAGCCACTAAATTTGTGATAATATTTTAAGGCAGCCATAGGAAATGAATACAGCAGGATAATGTATAATAATAAATATGAATGGAAATGAATGAAACCAGACAAACAATAAAGAAAAATAAAACAAAATACAATTAGTAATCTGTAACTATATATAAAGGAAAATTCCCTAGATGAAGAGAAAGAGAAAACAAAAATCCCAAGTAACAAATATGAAAGATAAGTTGTCACTACAGATCCTACAAATTTTAAAATGATAACGTGGGATTATTATGATGAACAACTTCAGGCCAACAAATATATCAACTTAGATGAACTGGACAAATTCAAAAACCACAACTTCCAAAATTGATACAAACTGAAAAAGGAATTTGAATACTCTTATGGATACTGAAAAAACTGAATGTTGTCAAATACCTTCCCACAAAGAAGACTCCAGGCACTGCGAAATTCTGTGAAACATGTAAAGAAGTGATAACACCAATCTCACACAAACTCCTTCGGAAAATGAAGGAAAAGGAAATAATTCCAAAGTCACTATATAAAGTAGGCATAACTCTGATTTTAGAATCTGAAAAAAATATGCGAAAAATGAAAATTGCAGACCAGTATCTCCCATGACTATGAGTGTAAAACTCCTCATCAAAACATTAGCAAAAAATCCAAGAATCATAACCAAGTAGGGTTTATGCCAGGAATGTAAAATTGGTTTAACATTTGCAAAACCCATCAACATAATTTACCATATTAACAGGATAAAGCAGAAAATGATCATTTCAATAGATGTAGGAAAAATTATTTGACAAAATTCAATAGCATACATGATAAAAACCCTCAACAAATGTATGTTTTTCTATAAAGATAAAACTCTTGATTTCCAATGACATTAACCTGATTACTGACTTGTTTGATCCTTCAGAAAATATGAGGTAGCATTTAGGATTGGGCTACAAGGCAGTCACGGCCTGGACCTCTCCTCAGGTAGGAATCCACAGTGAGAGCTGGACAACAGACATAGAGCTGTGATCCTTGGGGAAGGCAGACACTGGAGGAGCTGCACGTTCACAATGCGTGCTCCCTGATGTGCTTTCTAAGCTGGGGTGCAGAGATTATAGAGGGACTGCTGAGTCAGCTCTAGAGAAGGAACCCTAAAAACCTGTGTGAAGTCTTCCTCAGGTCTCGGCAAATCCTAAACTGTGTCTGAACTCTGGGATGCCAGGATAGTCACCAGGCAGCTGAGGGTCATACTGAAAGCTCAGAGGGAGCCAGTGTGGGACTGGAGTGGAGACCCCGGGGAGCAGAATAGGCTTTCTGCTCAAGTCCCACAAAGGTGACTGGGAAGGGGGGCAATGGCCTTAGATTTGGGCAAAAAGGAAACAGACTTGTCCTAACAAAGCCAAAACTTAGGCCCTGAGAGAAACAAGGTGACCCATTCGCCATTTCAGTCTCTACTGGGACAGAGGGGGAACACATGGAGAGCCCTGCAACACTTCATCCACAATGCCCAGCACACAACAGAGAATTCCCGAATGTGCACTGAAGCAGTGAAAGGAGACTGGTAATCAGAAGATAAAACATCCACAATAGCATACTTAGGGGTGATCCAAATATTAAAGTTAGCAGACCACAAAAGAGCCATGATGATTATGTGATAGAAAACAAAGAAAAAGGTGAACAAAATGGACATGGAATATCTCAACAAAGAATGAAAATTTAAAGGAAAAATGTACTCTAAAACAGAAAATTACAAAATATGAAAGAAAAAACTCATTGTGTGGGGTTACCAAGAGACTAGACACAGCAGAAGCCCAAATTAACGAACTTGACAGGTTAGTGGTCAACAGAAAAGGTCCAGACTATAGTACAGAGAGAGAAAAAATGGTTAGAAGAAACAAAACAACAACAACAAGCCCAGAAAAGAGCATAAGATGAGGATATATTGAAATGGTTTACCCAAATATATATGATAGTTTAAAAATAACTGTAATAATATTAGTACTAGCAGTTAGTCTCTAGAAATATTTTTTCCCTTAGAAAATATCTTACTGGGGATATAGAGTAAAACTATCATGTTACAAAGTCATTTGAAGTAATTTATTTTTCCTATTTGGTTGCATCACCAACTTGACAACCATTTATACATTTAAACTAATTAATTCCCATTCATTTTCAATGTTTAGCAATTGCTTTCTCATTTTTTTCTTGATTTAAATGTTTATTGATTATCCAAAAACCTTTTCATGATTCCATTGTCAAAATTATATAATAAGATTTTCATTAACAGAAATCTTTCCACTTCTGTCCCATTTTGGTCTCTCCCTTCCAATATAAGTAACCAAAAACTAGTTTTGGGTATGGATCCTTCCAGGGTTCTTTTGAGCATATAAATGAATGCATCACCTACACACACAGTTGCATACATACATAGCTACCTTTTAGGGTAGAGTACTATAAACAGTTCTGTACCCTGCTTTTTTTTACTTAATGTATTCCAGAGATCACGTTGAATCAGAATACAGAAATATCCCTCACTCCTTTTCTACAGCTGCATAGTACTCCATGGTATGAATAAGGCCCAGTTTATTCAGCCTCTAAATGAACCTGCGGACCATCACCATATTTTGCCATTCCTACCATGCTATAAGGAACACCCTGTGTGTGCCTCACTCCCTATTTTGTCCAGTGATACTCCTGGTAAAGTCCCAGAAACAGGACTAATGGAGCAAAAGGTAAACGCAAAGGAAATTTTTCTAGATGTTGACAAGTTCCCCTCCACAAGTACTGTATTAGTCAGCTCAGGCAGCTGCAACAAAATACCACAGACCAGGAGGCTTAAACAATAGACGTTTAATTCTCACAGTCCTGGAGGCTAGAAGTCCAAGATCACAGTGCAGGCAGGGCTGGTGTTTCCTGAGGCCTCTCCTGGTATAGACAGCCACCGCCACCTTTTCCCTGTGTCATGATGTGGTCATCTCTCTTGTGCATACACATGTCTGTCTGTCCAAATTTCTTCTTACAAGGACACAAGTCAGACTAGATTAGGGCCCAACCTAGTGCTCTCATTTTAACTTAACTACTTCATTAAGACCCTCTCTCCAAATGTGGTCACACTCTGAGGTAGTAGGGGCTGGGATTTCAACGTATGAATTTTGGGGTGACACAACTCAGCCCAGTATCGCACCATTTCTCTACACCCACCAGCAATGGATGAGAGTGTCTGTCTCCTCACACGATCCGAGTATTCTAATCTTTGTTTTGCTTAAGCTTTGTCTTCCTTAAAGGTCACATAGTTGTTTCAGTTTTCCAAATCAATCTGAGAAGCTCTGTTCTGAAATAGGACAGTTTAATGATTGCTTATTTTGAAACAGGAGGATTTAATAATTTCCATTTATCATCAGTAGTTAAATAATTAACCCTACTTCTCAATTCTTCATTATGATTTTTTGCTGTTTCCTTATTTAATGATTTGGCTCATATGAAATATATTTTTATTTACATTCAGGTGTAAAAATACTGAGCTAGGTCCCAGATATTTTCTTAACTTCTGCAGTAACTTGGATGATATTCATCCTCTTTCCTCCTTCTTATTACTAATAGGATCTAAAAGTGAAACAGGACCTTTTAGTCCCCATCATCAAGAAATCAGGAAAAAAAGAAAATTTTATTATGTTTGTGCCATTGTACCAGTTAGCACTGCCTTAACTAAGACCATGAGTCTGGATACTTTAATTACCATAGTGACTAGTTTGTGACTAAAAGTGACCCCAGGACATGTTCATCTGAGAGGAGGAAAGATCCAGGTCAGCTTGATGTCTCAGATAAACAAGGTTCTGACTCTATAGAAAGATACCATGGAGGTGCCTCGGACGGAACCATGTCTCTCCCTCCAGGGCCACCCAGCGCCAGGTGGAGCCATAGCACTCTCCCTGCTCCCGCCAACCTCAAGGGTGCAGCTGGCAGTCCCTGCCCGGTTCTCCCCTGGCCCTGCTTCTGAGATGGTGCTGTGCTGCGTCTGGGTAACCGGAAGCTCATGTCACCAAAACTATGCAGTAATGTCCAGTCAGCACTGAGCTGGTGCCCAGGGAGAAGGAGTGACATTTGGGGAAGGGACATGAGCCTGTAACACGTGCTGTGCTTGGGCTTGAACAGAAAGAAGGCAAACTCCTGGGCCAGACAGTGTGGAGCCATAGAAAGGGCGGCCTGGCCCGGGAGTGGTGTTCTTACCCTCTCTGGGTGATCTCCCAGCAGCTGGCTCCTGTCCCTGCAGCGTACCCTTGGCCAGCTTTTGCCCCAGTGAAGTCCCGGTGAACTTCAGGCGGCCCCTGGTCATGGGCACGGGGTGCTGAGCAGGTTGCAGGGATGCCTGTTATTCCGGTTCAGAGTGGGGAGGAAACTGAGGCACAAAACTGTCCTTCACCTGGTGCCACGTGCCCCAGCCATGTGGATAGTCCTGACCAGTGGAGAGAAGGATCCAAGATAGGGAGAGGCAGGGACCTGGGAGAAAAGGAAGGGAGAAGAGGGTGCGAGAGAGATGAGCAGAGCCAAGGGGGAGGGAGACAGATAGACTAAGAGGGGTCAGGGAGAACAGAGGTTGAGGAGGAGGGGGAAGAAACCAAAGGGCAAAAGGCAGAAACAGGCATGTTTACTTGGACAGCTCCAACGGGGTGCTTGGGACAGTGCCCGAGACAGGAACCCAGGCAGTGCTGCCCAGGACCTGCAAGCCTCGGCTCTCTGACAGGGTGCCCCCTGCCCAGTGTCGCCACGGGTGCACAGGCCATGAGCCGTGTGCTCACAGGAATAACTAGAGTGAGAGGACATGTCCTTCCACGTTCACTGCCTCAGTGACATCACTGCCCTTCAGACCCTAGAGCCTAGGAGCGGCCAGCTGGCCTCTGGTCAGGGCAGAGCAGACCTATGCCCACGAGGTCCCCGTCCCTGCAGCAGCACCTCGGCAGCCCCAGGTGGGTGGGGAGGAGGCTGCCCGGGGAGTGACACAGGATGGCTCTCTGAAGACTGTCCCTCAGCCAGCTGCTCACTGAGAGGTGGGCACCACAAAGATTTCCTTCCAGAGGTCTCACTGCTGAGGAGTGAGTGGTGACAGCATTTTCTCACTGGAGTTCTGATTTTACATCTTATAACTTCTACATGAAAACGAGGTCTGTGGCTTTCATCCTACTCTCTCCAGGAAAACAGCATAATCCATAGGGCGACCATGTAAACATAACACGTGAGCATCATCTCAAAGGCTGCGTGCCAGCCTGGAGAGAAGGGCTGGCTCAGGGCAACACTCGCTGCATATGGCAGACAGGAAAAGAAAGTAGCTAAATTCTAATCTTTGAGCCTGTTCTTCAGAGGAAACCGAGAAATGCTCCAAAAGTGGGAGATGGAGACTCCATCAAGCCCAACTTCTAGCCCTGTTCCGTGGGGCACCCTCGCTGCTCCTGGGAAGGGGACATCCCCACTGTGCCTCCCTTGTACCTCAGTGACCTCCTCACACATCTTCTGGAGGCGCTGGATCCACACTGGATCATGAGGAAGGGAAGAGGAGGGGAGAAGGAGCCCACCCAGCTCAGTGACTAGCCCCACCAGCAGGCCAGGGAAAGGGTCCTCGGGAGAGAAGCTGCCCAGGCCTGGGCTGAGCAGCAAGCACAGGGGGCTTCTGGTGACTTCCCTCAACCCAAAACCATGGGGAAAAGTCCACACTTCAGTCCAGGGGTGGGGCATCGCAAGCTGGGGAGCCTCAGCTTCAGAGCTGGGCTGGGACCAGGCCCACCAGAGCTCTGGACGTGCTGAGAGCACTGCAGGGACTCCAACCCTCCAGCCCAAGAGCACACAGGGGCCCCGGCAGCAAATCCCATCAGGATGCCCTCTGAGTAAGGGGGTACACTGTGAGACAGCTCCCCTTCCTGAGACGGCTCATTGGATTTACAGCTGGAGAAAACAGTTTTGATTTCTCACCATGAACTATTTCAAACCTAGAGAAACTAAAACTATGAGACATCAGTGTACCCAATACTAAGAATTAACAAATCTTAACATTGTGCTATATTTGATTCAGCTTATTTCTTAAATGAATAAAATGCACAAAAGACTAAAGAACTGCCCCAGCAGCCTGTTCTCTGCTCGTGTGCCCTCCAGAGGCCCCTGCCATCAACAGGAGTGGGAGTTCTCCCTGTGCACACTGTCGCACTTCTGCCACCAAGGCATGTGCCCTAACAAGATCTCCTATTACGTCATGTGTTCAGAAAACCGGTATAAATGGCATCATGTGCACATGTCCACTGCTGCTTACATTCAAGATTATGTTGTTAAGGCAGATGGGAACTAGACTTATTGTGGTGATCGCTTCACAATGTATACAAATATCGAATCATTATGTCATATACCTGAAACTAATATAATATAATATATCAATCATACCTCAATAAAAAAAAGATTATGTTGTCAAGATTTATCCACACTGATGCATGCAGATCTAATTCTTCATTTTAGATGAGATGTATTTATATGTCTAGTCCCATGTAGACTGGGCATTTCTGAATATTTGCAAGGGAACCTGTTCACATGTCTCCTGGTGCACCGTGCCTGGTTTTTCTCGAGTGCACTCCAAGGAGAGGGCCAGCTGGGTGGTGGGGGATACGGCAGTCCTCAACCTCCCTGGTCACTGCCAGGCTGCTCTCCCAGGTGGGCGCTCCGGTCTGGTTCCCCTAGCAGTGTGAGTGTCCTCCAGCATGCTTGTCCACTCCCCAGATCTTCAGCCCACATTTGCCAGTGAAGTCATGAAGCGGCCCCTCCCCTGTTCTTGACATTCCTGGGGTTGAGGGAGGCTGGGCCCCTCATGTGGTGACTGGCCAGGCATTTCCTCCTCTGTGGCTCTGGTGCATTCTTTGCCCCATTTTCAGTGGATCCATTCGTCCTTTGCCTTCCTGATCTGTGGCCTGCCTTGCATAGTTGCACATAGCCCTAGCCTATGAGCACATGAGGAGGAGGACATGGAGGAGCCTGGGCTCATGGTGGGATGTGGTGAAGGTAGACTTGGGAAGACGGCCAGCCTGGGAAGAGGACTAGAGGGCCAGTGGTTCCCCGCAGTCAGGAGGACAGGAGCAGGTTCTGGGGTCTGGCTCCTGTAAGGTACCAGAGAACACTGTGGGAGGACAGCTGGCCAGGCCCGGAATGCATCTTGGGAGAGAAGTCTCCACAGAACAAGGATGCTCACGTCCGTATTCCCAGTGACTGGAAAACCCGGAGAGCAAGCAGAATAACCAAACTTTCAGACACTGCCCCATCTAGTGGTAGACAAGGAAAAAAGCCTACATCCAGTCAGGAAAGGAGCATTCCCAGAAGCAGGTGGGGGGCAGGGTGGGTGTGGCAACAGCCTCGGGAGGAGAGGTTTTCTGAAAGGAACATAAGAACAGTCAATAATTCGTTGACTTTAAAAATCAGCAGGTCATGCATAAGCTGTGTCCTGCAGCTTCAGAACAGGAAGGAGGTGGAAGTCTGGCTGCAGGGGCTGAGCATGAGTACAGCTTGGTACAAGAGAGGCTGCAATTCAATGTTATTATAAAAATTTGGGCCATGCAGTTAGTTAAAGATAACCAGGAGCTATAGATACTTTAAAAGGAAGGGCAGTAAGTTTTTATTTGTGATAATGTGATTCTCTGCCTAATATATTCCAAATTATGGGACCCAATAGGATGCAGTTTCTAATAGATTATAAACTGAACATGCAAAAATAAATATTTTTACTATATATCAGTAATAATTACAATAGAAACCAAGAATATGAAATATAAAATGATCAGGGAAAACTTGAATAAGGAGCACAAAAGATCTATACCAAGAAAACCATAAAATTTCATTGAATGTCCTGGATGGTATATGAGCAAAGAGCCCCACCACATCCCTTCCTCTCAACATAGATGTGTAACTAATGAGAGGCCAACCCAAATCCAACTACATTTTTTAAAAGTGACAGAAGGACTCTAACATTCATCTGGAAGTACAGCAGTGTGAAATAAACTAGAGTTTTGGAGAAAACATAGTAAGATGGGTCATAACTTGGCCTTTTGTAGAAACAGACAAATATCCATGAGATGGAATATATCAGAACACTCTCAAAGGCACAAGCATTTGCAACCAATTACTGCGATAAAAGCAGCCCTTCTCATCAGGAGGGAGGTTCTGATTAGCTGTAATATGGCACTGAGATTACTAGCTAATCTTTTAAAACAAAACAAAACAGGAGCTGGCCCTGTGGCACAGCAGTTAAGTTCGCACGTTCCACTTCGGCAGCCCAGACTTTGCCGGTTCAGGTCCTGGGTGAGGACCCACGCATCGCTTGTCAGGCAGTGCTGTGTCAGGCGTCCACATATAAAGTGGAGGAAGATGGGCACAGATGTTAGCTCAGGGCCAGTCTTCCTCAGCAAAAAGAGGAGGATCGGCAGCAGATGTTAGCTCAGGGCTAATCTTCCTCAAAAAACAAAACAAAACAAAGCCCAGTTGTCACTCGGCGAGGGAACGCTGCTGGGGCCAAATCTGCAACCAAATCTGCAAACCACGCTTCCAAGATTCCTTTGGGCACTGCTTCTTCATTGCTGAAGAGCAAACTACCACAACTTAGGGCTGAAAACAGTAGCCACTTATCAGCTCACAGCCACAAAGGGGAGTGGACAGAGGGTAGCTTGTTCTCCAGGGAGAAAGGTCCCAAATGCAGGAGTCAACCAGCTGTGTTCCCCCTGGAGCTGGGTCTCTTCAAGGCTCACTCAGGATGCCGCTGAGTACAGCTCCCTGTGGCTGTAGGACTGACATTCCATTTCCTGGCTGTCAGCTGGGGGCCACTCTCAGCTCCCAGAGGCTGCCTGCATTCCCTGGCACATGGCCAGAGATGGAGATGCTCCCTCATCTCGAATCCTTTCTGGCTTCCTCCATCTCTGACATGTATACCCAGACTTAAAGGGATCATGCGACTGGGTCAGGACCACCCAGACCATCTCCTTTCTGATTCACTCCAAGTTAACAGATTAGAAACCTTAATTACATCTACAAAATCCCTTTGCCAGGTAACACAACATAATCACAGGACTATGTCCCATGACCCACCCACTTTCAAGGGGAAATTAAGCAAGGCTTGCATACTGGGGTGAAAATCTTGGGGTCCATCCTAAAAGTCTGCCCACCACACCTCATCAGCTGACTTTCTGTTTGGTTCTCCAGCAGGAGGTCCGGAGGGAGACCCAGAAGCAGAAGGGCAGGCAGGCCTTCCTCCTCTGGCTCATCAGTGTGGCAGCGGGAGGATGGAGCGAGGGCAGAGGCAGCTCCTTTTCGGAGAGTCAAGCGGAATGAAGCAACCCCTTCAGGAGGATGTGGAGCTGGGTCCAGCAGCGTCTCCACCAGTACAGCAGTAGGGGGGCTTCCAGAGGCACGGGGATACTCCCTGGGCCCACGACCCCAGCCCCTGGGGGCCTGCTTGGCATAGGACCCTCAGCTCAACCACCTGGGCCAATCCCCATGACTCAGCTGCTCTCAGCCTCAGCCCCTCATTCTAAATGAGGACAAGAAAATACCCACCTTTCAGCATTGTGAAAAGTACTGTGTAATTTGCAAAGTGCTATACAAATGAAGAGTTTTAAGCCTTATTTTCCCAGGATAATTCTAGAGTAAGAACAGAAAATAAGAGAAAGGAACAAAGTGTGAGGAATGTATTTACTCTATTACTTCTGAAAGCGTCCAGATACAAACAATGCCAGCCTTCACCTATTTGCTGGTGATGTTAGGAAGAAAGGAAGACTGTGCTCCGTGCTCTGGGAAGAGCGTGTCTCCTGATCACTCTCAAGTGGGCTCAGGTGCAGGGAACAGCTGGTCCTTCCAGCAGGAGACAAGAGGGGAGGCAGGTAGCATTACCCTCAAGGTCCCCAGCTCAGCTTTAGTTGCCTCTGTGTGCACTTCTCCACCCTGCTGCCCCAAAAGGCCCCAAGCACCCAATCCAGATAGCCCCACATCCCTGGAAGGGCCACTGCAGGCAGCAGGACGAGAGAGGGGGCAGGAGTTCCAGAAGGAAGGAAGGAGCAAGCTCTCCTCTCCACAGTGGGGGCTGGCTAGGGACCCTAACCTTGGCTTTCTCCCGTGGTCCAGCCTGGGACCCTGACTTTTTGCCACTCCTGCCCCTCCACATTATATATATTACTTTCTTCCTGCTGCCCTCACTCAGGTCAGGGGTGGTTTCCGCTCCCCCAGCAACAACCCATGTCACATACAAACACCTTTCCCATAGAAGGAAGCCTCCAGGGGGCCTTAGACCTTCCCATGCCGTGGCTGTGGGTGTGTCCCCAAACCACAGCTGAGAGAGTATGACCCAGACTGCCACAACCAGAGACTAAAGAAGGCAGGCTCACTTCATCCTTTCTTCTGCCCATACCCGGACACCTGGACACCTGGGCTCCACAGGCGCTGAGAGACTTGGGGGTGAAATTCGGTGCCAGGCACACTGAGCACTTGCCTGAGCGGCTCCCCAAACCCCAAAACCCCGTCCTATGCATCGTGTTTGCATTTAAACTTCATGGGAAAGGGAGATGGGCAGGCGCCTTGCTCCCTGCATTCCTAGGACAAAACCAACCAGGGCTTCTTCCTAACCTTCCCACAGGCCCCGCAGGAGTCCTGGGGATAGACAGTAGCACCACGCTTCCACTCCATGGAAGGGACAACAAAAGACGACTATCGTCCTGGGCCAAACTGTTCTGAGGGGCAAAAGATAAAAAAACCCACAAACATAATAAAAACAAAATAAACATAAGCAAAATTTAAAATAAGGTTATTTTAAAAGTCTGGCCAGCAGCATAAGCAAAAAATACATAAACCCACTTGCATGGTCACCACACCCAGAAGAAAGGTGGGCTCTGCCCCCTCAGAGCCCCTCGGGTGCAAGAAGCGAACAGAGGCCCTGCCTGCACACAGCAGCACAGACAAGCGTCAGGCGAAGGAACAGTCCCCAGGTTGTGAGGAGAGAAACCATAAAAATCAGTCTATTTTTTGAAGTGGCTCTGCAAGGGATTTTCAATGAATGAAGTTAAAGAATCAAAATAAAATTTTTACAACAAAATAAAGATTTTTGTTTTCAAATTATAATTCTGTCCAATGCAGACTGAAGTTTTTACTCTTTATTGAAAATAAGAAAACAGTCACAAACAACTCATAGGGATTCAAGAGAAATATTTTAGTATCAACTAAAAATACAGTAAAACCCAGCCAATCCTTCAACCATGACAAGAGTAAACCTTTTCCTTATGCAGCCTACACTGGTGTCTCCGTGGCTGGCAGCCCTGGCATCTCCACAACTTCCCCTGCAGTGTTCCCATGCCCAAACCCACTCCCCAGAAGCCTTGCCCTGGGGTCCTCAGGGTCCTCATGCTGTTCTGCTCCCACCTCCCTCCAAGCCTCTCCTCCCTCTGAAGCCAGAGGAACACTGCAAAAGCACAAATCTGCCCTGCCCTGCCCTGCTTACCACGCCCCAGGCATTCCAGTGTCCAGGAGGAAGCACAAGTGCCCCAGCTGAGTCCTCCCCACCCCTCATACCTGCCCACATCACTCATACTCAGGCATCCCAGGACTCTGTCCCTTCCCAACACCCTGCTGACCCTACCCTCAGAGCCCCACCTTGAGGGCCTCGGCCACCACAGCCCTAAGCTCACACAGCCCAGGAGACATGTAGACAGCTCATAAATGTAATTATCTTTCATGAATATTAAGCCAAGAAGAGGCAAGTGAAGGGAGGTTAAACCATCAGAGCTGTTTTATAATTTGAAAGATCATACTGACCATGGACATCAGGGCCTTGGGCTCCGAGAGAACAGCAAGGAGGGGCCGTGCCCACACAGGAGGCCGACAACCAGCGATGCTGCTGTAGGACCTGCTGGAGCCCCGGGTCCCTGGCTCACCTGTAGGAGCGAAGAGGAAGGGCCCCCAGCTGTGAAGTAAGGAGGAGGAGGGCAGTGAGAGCTAAGCAGCATCTGCACCCCTGCCTGGGATGCACCCCAAGGGAAGGAGCCCCCTCTAAGGTCCAGCTGAGCGGTCACAGCCGGATCATGAAGACGTCCTCTAGGAAAAGGAGGGGGAGCTCTCAGAGAGCTCCCAGAGGGACAGTCAGTGCCAGAAGACAACTGATCAGCTCAGTAAATGTCACTCAGTAAATGTCACTAAGAGACACTGGAGGGATGTGCACCATAAGAGTTACAAACATAATTAGTTTTTATAATATGATTATTTTAAACTTAGAGAATAATCATATGGGTTTGAATCTTCACATACTGTTTTAGTGTTTTCCTGCTGGAGTACTTAACCTTGTCTCACAGGCACGAGCCAAACATTTGCTAATGTAACAGATCAGCAAATGCAGTGATGGGCT